GAGAAAGTGGGATTTTATTGCTCGTCATGTGAGACAGGTTGCCAAAAAACAAGTAACTATTACTGCAGAACAACAGTCTCGAAGAAATTACTCTCGAGAATATTACTTCTACATTCGCAATGAAAAACAACGTATTTGCAAAACTATGTTTTTGGAAACCCTTAACGTTTCAGAAACTTGGATCACTACAGCATTAAGGAAACTAAAAGATGGTGAATCATTAGAGGAAGATAAACGTGGAAAGCACACTAACAGACCACATAAACTATCACCGGAACTTATAGACAACGTAAAAAATCACATAAATCAGTTTCCTGTAGTACCTTCCCATTATACCCGTAAGAATACGATGAAGATGTACCTTGAAGAAGGGCTAACTATCCAGAAAATGTACCGATTGTACAACGAGCATTGCGAAAAAAATAACATCACTACAGCTGCCACGTCACGCCAGTATAGAGATATTTTCAATGAACAGTTCAATATTGGGTTCTTTAAACCAAAAAAGGACCAGTGTACTGTTTGTTCTGTTTTTAATATGGCTAGTGATGCTGAAAAAGCAAAATTGCTCGAACAATATGAGTCCCATATGAAAAACAAAGAAGTTATCAGAAACTTAAAAGACATAGACAAACAGCTTGCACTAGATGATAAGAGCTTGTGTGTGGCTTGCTTTGACCTTCAAAAGGTTTTAGCTACCCCTTCGTCTAATGTCGGATGAGGAAAATTGAATTAAAATATAAAACTGCAAATTATATCAGTAGCTTCTTCAAAATGTAGCATTTTATATAAATAAAGTTAAGAAACAAATAATTCTGGTATTTATTACTTTAAAAATATCTCCATCGAAAACTATAGTAACTCATTCAAAAGTCACTTATGACCATTTGTGTCTTAAATCTGTTTTACAGACAGTGTAAACACATTTTTATAATTATCTCAATTACATAAAAAATGAGTTACTACAGTCTTCGTTGGACCAGTCGATATATAGTTGTCTTCTTCTGCGTCTGCACACTCAACGTGAGCCCAGAGGGAATACATAAGATATATAACTTATCTTCAGCTGTGACGAAAGATAGATAGTAGAATTTTTAACTCAGAAGAACCTGAGGATATGGTGTCATCCGAGTCTTCCCCGGAGCTAGATTCTCCCTTGAACTTAAGACTTTTGCAGCCTCTTCTAATTGCGATTCGTAAGGAGAAGAAATTATGTGCTGAACAGGTTGCTTTACGTCCTCGAATAGAAGCTCTTTTCTTAATTTTCGGTATAGGGTTGATACGAAATGGGCTTGTATGGAAAGAATTTTGCTGTTGAGGCATTCTGAGGTTGGCTCTGGGTAGAATTTTGTTTCTCTGAGAATGACAGGTTAGTGGTACAGCCAGGTCAACTTCAACACCATTTAACTCAGATGCTCTTGATGTTGATGGTACTACCAGGTCAACTTCAACACCATTCATGTCAGTTGCTCTTGATGTTGATGGTATAGCTAGGTCAACTTCAACACTGTTCAATTCAGTTTCGCTGGGATTTAATTCTTTCTGCTCGTCTAGTTTCTGAGAAATGGTAGAATTTGGAGCAAGCTGTTGATTCTTACGTGCCACCACATTGTATTCAAATTATGTGAATATGTATCTGTTAATAGGAAAAATTCCAGTAACTCTAAAACCATTGATAGCAATCTCAGCCTTCTGACATTGAATGTAGGCTTTCCCAAAAAGTTCCATTACATCATAAGCACTAGCAGGCCGATTACTATGTCGTAACCATTGTCGAATTTCTTCGCTGTACATGGCTTTTAGAGGTCCCATGAATGTCCTGTCAAGTGGTTGTATTTTATGTGATGAATGGGGTGAGAGTGATACAATTGAAACGTAGTTTCGTCTGGATAAATCGATTAAGTCAATATTTTGGGTGTGACTGAAATGTCCGTCTAAGATGAGAAGGACAGGATTCTCTTTCGAAGGTTTTACAAATGCTATAAATTGTTGGAACCACATTGTAAACAGATTTGCTTGTATCTATCCTGAGGAATGTGCCGCAAATATGGTTTCCGGTGTAGCCTCTTTTTTCAATTGATCGCTCAAATTCTTGCGTGGAAAAATGGAACGAAGATTCCAGTTTCATTCATACAGATAACGATTGTAACGAGAGATCAACGCCCAGCAGATGTCAGTGCAGCAACTTGCCTTTTTCGACGCAAAACAATTACTTTAGCCACTTTTGACTGTACGATATATATACCACTTTAATCTACATTGAAAATTCTATCAGGGGTAAATTTTTCTTTGTCATAAACCTCTTCTAAAAGATTAAAAAATCTATCGGTATTTTCTTTACTAAATCCTAAAGCTCTTGCAAAGGATGTGCCAGTTGGTTTTCATTCTGATAACTTCTTTTTTTGCTTTCCCATTTTTGCCCAGCCATTTCATGTTTGAAAGGATGCTAAAAGTGATTTATTTCTATTCTCTTTTTTCCAAGAGCGTCAATCGCCCTTGACAGGTCCGAAGGAGACCATGATCCCAATGTCTTTTTGGCATGATATCTGCAACAGTATTATCTATCAATTTCAATTTTACAAACCAAAAAAGGGACCCACATTAGGAAATTTTGGGCGGCCCGGATTATTAATGATTAACTAAAATTTAAATATCGAATTTCTTCGATTTTTAAAATAAACTAAAGCAAAATGTTAGACGTTGAATCGATAGCTTGTAATGTCCTCTTTAAAATAATATAACGGTTAAAGTACTTACCTATATAATATTAAATTTCGGTAACACAAACTAAAAGCGCGCCAAAACTTTCCAAACCAAGATTTAGCTTATTCACTGACTACACCTAAAACGAGTTACGACAGCGACTGAAATGGTTGGCCGTGTTTGTTTGGTCTCATAAGGAACTTCACTATATCAAACTAGGGGCCACTTTAGGAATAGGGACTTGTTTGGGCAAGTTCCTTTAATATTTAAAAATCAAAAGTGATGCTTGCAAACAAACGAGATGCCAGAATCATTGATAAAGAATCATAATAAATCATAAAAATTACCAATTGTTTCAACATAATCTCATGGGCGTCTATATTCGTTAACAATATTATATTAAATTTTTTATAAACATTTTTAACCAGACTCCTAACGCCATCTATATGATAAAAATTAAACGAGCGTAGTCCACTGAAGCGCAAATTGTGATTGAAGAAACGAAGGAACTTAAGATCTCCTCACATTTATGTTATCCTTATATCATATTTTGCATTCCGTACGCACACCTCGCCTGTTTTAATCAATCGTCGAAATCGAAAAAATATCGTCAGAAAATTAGTCAAAATTATAAAATTTTTGTATTTTGCCGCAAATGGCAAATGAAGTCAGTTTCCATAAAGCTGTTCAATAAATAAACTTTGCTCTATTTATATTTCATGAACCGGTCGTAGTGAAATTTGCATTGTTGAAGACCAGTATTCCAATGACGTATAATCTATAGACTCGGTGAACGCTTTAAAAAGTGTCCACAACATGAATACCTTTGTTATTGTTTATTGTTTTGATACGAAGATGCACGAAGTACATGATTTCTTACGAAGCATCACGAATTTGATATTGTGTTTGAAAACATTTTCGCCATTTTGTGTGTTTACATATTTTATGTGACAAGCAAATTTTATTTTAAATTGTTGAGAGTTATTTACTTACTATTTTAGTAAAATGCCATACTATTTTATAAAAATATTTTTTTCTCTTATAGATGGGAACAAAAAAAAATCATAAATATTTAATTTTAATTAAAAAAATAATTATTGTCATTAAAATATAAATAAGAACGCCACTGTTCTGGTAAACATACCTTCAACCTTGAGCGGAGATCTTTCGGACACCCGATTATATAGCGAGAATACGGGACTGTTCAGTCTATATATTATATGTCATTGCACTATTCCTATAACATAACCTATAATATGAAAATTCGATTTTGATTTTTAGCAACCATTATGAGACATTTGAAAAATGACTTAAAAACGCAGAACAGAAGTTAAACTTTTATGTTACAAACGATCGCACGTCACAGGAAATGCCTCCAAGAAGACGGTTTTGGGTGTAATTTATAGCAGAAGTTAAGTACTTTCGAAAAACGTACTACTGTTTTAAAAAAGTGCAGTTTTATACTTTTTAGATCATTTGTAATGTGACAGTTTAAATTGGGCGTTTTTTAAGCATGTTTCAAATGCTTCACATTTGTTGCAAAAACTAAAAATTCATGCTATAGGTTTTGAAGATTAGCTTATAGTTATAGAATCTCCATATTGGCCAGTCAATGAAAGGATTGTATTCATCCTACGAGAATAATAAAGAATGGCAAAAATCGCGCCACATTTATTTATTTAACACCATAAATCCATAAATATTAAGCTCATTTGTAGAAAATAGAAAATTTTCATACGAAAGCTGCACTCTTGACCTTTAAAACGCATCTTGCTTTTTGTCGATAGGACACTCGAATCAAAAGATATTGCATTTTTACCGTTGAGCTGATACATTTTTTAATGAACATTGATTTCGCGCGCGTAGCTGACATTCAAAATCTTTGATTGCTTCAATCGTTGTTTCTGAGAGAACGGTTCATTCTACGCAAAAAATGCTAATAAAGATTTTTGTTCAAAATTATCTTAGCTACATTTTTTTGCATCTTTTTTAGCGTTCTAAAATTGACTTCAGCAAAATTCAGCTTGTTCGTATGATTTTTAGGGATTCAGTGGCATTTTCGTGTCTGACGACTGGAGTATACAGTTTAACCTCGAATCCGAACGACTAAGTAAAGAGGAGCTGTACTAGACAGATTACGACTTCGTGGTTTGTCAGGGCCTTCGAAACGACGATCTAAGCAATACTTTTTGATTTTTGTAGCCTTTATCGATCCCACATCATTCAGCATCAAAGTCTGATACACTCACCACTGAGCTACATAGGCTGTTATTAGAATATTCAAACTAAAAAAATTCGTTTAACAACTTTATTTATTTCTTTGATATTTACAATATATAAACATTTCAATATTAAAAAATACAAGAAAAATAAATATACTAATCAACCAATCTAACGTTAATGCTACAAAAACTTACGACTACACAAAAGTCACTAATTAAAAAACATCACATGGGAATTTTTTAAATTCTTATGAGCAATTATTAAAAAAATTAGTATAAAACTCTCTAAATACGTTTTAATTATTGTGCAAGTTGGCTGTTCCTTGTATTCTCTGTATTTTAGTCTAACTCTAACAAAACTGTTTTTTTTTTCATCAAACAAGTAGTTAGCTATAACTTGATTGACAAAAGAATACAAAAATAATAAAGTATGATTTTCTTTATTACAGAAATGTATATTGCTCTCAAATGAAATACGGAAAACACCAATTACGATCAATTTGCAGCCGGTTTCACGAATGATGTATTTTCACTTCAAGTCACCAGAGAAACGTTTCACAAAACATTCATTCAGTGGCATATATTTTAAGTTAATTACTACTAAGTGTTATCTACTATTCAAAAAGTATTTCGCACACCTCTGTTCCATTGCCACGATTTCCTCAAAAAATACCGATAAAATAAGTTCTTTTAAAACATTCATGACGAAATTTTACCGTAATTGGATTTTGCCGTATGTCTCATTAGTTTTATAAAAAAAATACTAGGTGCCAAAAAAACGGTATAGACGCAAAATCTAGGCAACTCGCATTACCACAAAGTCAGCATATAACAGTAGTTCTATTCATATTCTTCTCATATGAGAGCATCTAACTTTTCTGTATTGTGGTGTCTGCAAAATATATTGCATAACATAAAAAATACATTTTTGGGGCTATTTGTTAAATATTAAAATGTCACAGAATGATAATTATATACTACATTATAAGATTTTGTGACAACTTAAACGTGCGTATTCACTGTTGTTTTAATTTTTTTTATTTTTAAAACTTCTATTAAACTTACAACCATATTTCATCATATCTGTAAAAATATGACAAGGGGCAATTGACATAACAAAATACCTATCTATAAGGCGCGTGATTTTTAAAATATTTCGGTTGTTAACAGCTAGTGAAGGTATCTATCTACCTCTCTATGAAAACACCGAAAACTTATTGTGCGGGACTATCAACCTTGACCTTGTTTTCTGAATTGTGTAGCGAATTGGTTGTTGGTACATTGTTATTTTCACTTCTCGATAATTTTTCTTCGCTATCGTCATCAGAGAAATCTTCGTCGTGAGTATGCGTGACCGACTGAGGCGTGGCGGGACGTACGTGAGGAATTTGACTCTGAGATCGCTCCAAGGGCTAAAACAAAATAATTATTAACAATTGTTCGGAAGCTATTTTATTATGGCATTTTAATAATTATTTACTATCTTTAATTCGAATTATCCACAATTTTAGTTGAATCATGCGATTATTTTAACGTTTCGATTTTTATTTTGGAAACTTATAAATCGAAAAGTTAAAAAAAAAGTATTTTTAACTAAAATTGTTTATTGATTTTCATAATCTCTAATACCAACAAAAATAAACAGAATATATATTGGAATTTTACTAAATATAGGTATAAGTTTGGTCGTGTACAAGTAAAACGGTTATAATGTCATACATCTGCTATCCATAAATGTACCATTATTGATCCATAAATGGAATACTCAACGATTGGTTTCGTTCTAATGGTGTTCATCAGCTTGATGTACATTGTCCAAATTATAAGACTACCAACTTCGTAAATATCGACAAATAGCGTTGAAAGGCAGTACTTTCGGTTGCAACTCTGGAACCGAAAGTCCGAGGTCAAATTTCTCACCTTTCATTCCATCTTTGAGTTTTAAGCTTTTATTCGACATATCATTTGCCATTTTATTTATTCTAGTAACGGAGGAGTTGTGTTTACGGACGGACAAACAGACATAGATAATTTTCAAGAAACGAGTGAAATCAGATATGTATACAGTTAAGTACCACAATTGTAGCAAGTAACTCATGTTTTAAAGATTTTTTACCGGCCAGTAAAATTAAACGTTTACATTTTAGAAAAAAGTATTTTTTCCGACAAAAGGAAAAGTTAATTATTATTTAATAAACAAATTAGTGGATTATTGCAGAATCCGTTTAATCTCTCAAAAATTGACAAAAACCTTCTTCTTCTGACTGTTCAAAGAATATATGTTCAGATTTAAGAGATCTCATTTTATATGTAGAGTCTATTTTTAAACTGTTCAATTGTTTTGGCAAAGATTTGGGTTATAGGGAAAATGTAACGTTGTCAGCGTGTATGATTTAACTTGAAGTTATCTGCAATGTTGTAATTTATATCTTTCTCTAACGGTAGATAATGTCTGAGATCTCAACAACATAGTCGCTAATAATTAAGGCGATGTAACTCACAACAACGCCATTGTTCGGGTAGCTCTTTTATTGTCTATTAGCTGTAAGTCTTTTTCATTATATGTTTTATATTGTCGGTTTTATTATATTCGTAATATTATTGCTAGTGTGTACAGAGTAATGAAAACAGACGACGAAACCGACTTTGAAGGTTGAGACAAAAGGAAGGAAACAAATAAAATTGGATGATATAACCAAACAGGCCATTCGTCGTCCAGTACATGAATTTTATTTCAAAAAGGAATTACCAACTATAAAAAATTGCTTCTTCTCTTCAATCTAATAAAAATATTCCAAAAATATCAAGACATGTTTGTTACATACTTTACGTGAAATGAACGTTCGTTATTTAAAGACAAAGAGGAATAGTACCCTTATTGAAAAAGAATAAATCATTTTATGGCGTAGAAAGTATCTGAAACAAATAGCAGAATTTCCAAGAGATGAAAAAAAACACACAGATGAAACATAGTTAACTGAAGAACATCCGTCGTCAACAAACGACAAGCTTTCCGGACAAACCGGATGGTTAGTCCAAAAAGTTTTATTATTAGCCATATTGGTAGCTACTCAGGATTTGTTGAAGGAGGTTTAAATGCTTTTGTTTCCAAAAAGACTGGAGATTACCATGAGGAAACGGATGCCGATCTTTATGAAAAATGGTTTTCAGATATTCTGTTAAAAATCGTTATAACCAGGATCTGTTATTGTTATGGATAATGCTCCATATCATCATAGCAACCACTAAATTACGGTTACGGTTACGGAAATAGCGAGAGAAGGAGGCGTAATTATTGTATTTCAATTGCCGCAAAACTCTTGTGAGTTAAACTCGATATAACTTATGTGGGTTATAATGAAGTAAAAAGGAACAATGTTAGTTTCAAATTCAATGAAGTAAAAAATAAATGCTTGAATAAAATAAAATATATCTAGCATGTAATGAAAGAAGGCAGAATATATGAATCCTTAATAACTTCATTGAAATTACCATGGAACCAGTAGTTGTGGATCTAGACGAAGATACTACTGATGAATCTGAAGTTGACATAGATGACTCAGATTAGATTATATAATGTTAGTTTTTATTGGAACATATTTTTTTATATTTTATGGAAATAAATATTTAGTTAAGGTGAACCATTTACTACTAGTACTGTTTCGTACCAAGAATTATTGAAGTAATTAATTTTTACCTGCGCTTAAAGTTACTAGACGACCTTTTTTCTAATCCCATGTCATTAAATCTCATTTGACAATAGGAATTAAATTTAATCCTTGAACCAGTCATAAGTTTGTTAATTTAAATGGATAAAGCGATTTTCCCAAAAAAATATATTTAACAAGGATTAGTTTTCTTCACCTTCGTTATAAAATCCTGATTATTTTTTTAAGAATAACCGCACGCCTATGACTCGTCGACTTCCGTTCCCCTCAAACTCGCGAAGGTTTACACTGAAAGAATAAGTTACTTGCTACAATTTTGGTACTGTGGTGTAAATACATGCTGAACAATAGAGCGTCAGGGTATATGTTCCTATCCGTCCTATACTGAGCTTTCCTTTCTTCCTACAATTTAGACTGTCTGCTAATTTCCCATTACTTACCTTCTTGTCTCTGGTTTCGATTGAAGATTGTGGGGTAACCATACTGTGCTCCTTGTTCATCTCCATAACGAAATGTTGCTCATGAGCTACTGTAGATTCGTGAGGTAACAGCATTGCTGGTGCCCTGAACATATACGAGAAGGGGTAGTACAACAGATTAAGGTGAGTAGCTGCATACAGATCTGCATACCTTACAACCTACAATGGAAAAAATATTTAACATAATTAAAGTTTTTAGTTTAGGATAAAGACAAAGTATAAAATAAGTAAGCCCGTAAGTTAGGCAAAATGACCTCACTCAAAGAATTCATTTTTTTTTAAATTTTCTTATGTTCTATGTGATTAAAAAATAAAGCTCATTGCAATTTTAAGCCACCACCCCCTCCCCCTAACCCAAAAACATTGTTTTTTAACTTTGTTTAGGAGATTTTTGTTTTTTTAGGGGTTTTATGTAGATTTTCCCCATTTTATAGACTAAAATAGATAAGATAAAGGTTTGTTATAGGTTATATATAATTTCAAGACACTCAGTCTTTTATAACATTCAAAAAATTGAGCAAAACACCTTTAAACCCCCAAAAAATCATGTTTGTTTTTTAAGGGTTTCTGGGTCTATTTTTTTATTTTGTATATTTTATCAAAAAACATATTTATGATTTTTTTTAAGCAATTGAGTCCTGTCGGACATTCTAACATCGGACAAAACAGCTTTAAATTTCCACAAAACGATGTCTCAAATTTATATTTAAAAAATTTATGAAGAATAAAATTTATGGCTAGTTATTTAGGGGTTTTACTGAATTTAACCAACTGTTTTTACCTTTCGACATATAAGATAAGCTGGGATTTTACAATCCAGTAAAATCTTCAGAAACACTTGAAAACTGAGTTTTCCGCATGTTTCTAGAAATTTCTAGCGTCGCTGCATATGGGAAATACCTCGTTTCCTGTTATTTTATAAAATGTTTAAAAATATGCCGCTAAATGATGTAGAAAGGTAAAAAAGTTGGGTAAATCCAGTAAAACTGCCTGAATAACGTTTGGAAACCTTGTTTTTCGCATAAACGATGGTTATATTTTGCTTCTTTGAGGCCTAAAAATACTATTTTTCATATATATATTTTGAATATGAATTGGAGATGTATTAAATAATATGAAGGTTGTATCCAACTCAAAAATATGATTAACCGCGCAAAACCCCTTAAAAAGCTTAAAAAACATGTTTTATTTGGGGTTTAAAAGTGTTTCGATCAATTTTTGAATGTCCTAAAAGATTCAGTTACTTTAAATTTTATGTAACCTACAAGAAATCCTTGATTCATTCTATTTTGAAGTTGATAAAATGGAAAAATACCCAAAAAAAACATAAAAAATTGTTTTTAGATTTTTGAAGGTGGCGGAAAAAAATCAGAAATATAGTATTTTTATTAAAAACACAAAATAAAAAGAATAGAGCTGCAGCAGATTATCTTCACTCAACATACGTGTCTATAAAAATACACAAGTTTTGTAAAAGCCTCAGATATGCGTGTAATTTTTTTGAGGGCAGGGGGTGGGGTGGCCACTTAAAATTGCGCTCTTAAAATTGCGCTGAGTCTTATTTTATATTGGTCTAACTGGTAAGCTGGTTTTGTATGTTTTCAATAAAATTGATAGTGTGTAAAATAATTTAATATTTAAGCTAAGTATACTTTCGACATAATAAATGTCATCATCAGAGCTATCGTCAATTAGGCAATAAATACTTCATAGAAGGACAATTGTGCACAAACGACATATTAAAATTCAAAGATCGGGCTCTGTAGGCCACAGATCTTGGGTCTAACCCTTATACATATGTATAATTCACATTTAAAAAGTTTTTATAAAAACATGGTTACCATATACAGTAACGACAACAGCTGTCTTTGACTTACATTTTTGAAGTAAAAAAAACAAACTTTTTTTTACTTCAAAAATGTAAGTCAAAGACAGCTGTTGTCGTTACTGTATGTGGTAACCATGTTTTTATAAAAACTTTTTAAATGTGAATTATACATATGTATAAGGGTTAGACCCAAGATCTGTGGCCTACAGAGCCCGATCTTTGAATTTTAATATGTCGTTTGTGCACAATTGTCCTTCTATGAAGTATTTATTGCCTAATTGACGATAGCTCTGATGATGACATTTATTATGTCGAAAGTATACTTAGCTTAAATATTAAATTATTTTACACACTATCAATTTTATTGAAAACATACAAAACCAGCTTACCAGTTAGACCTATTTAGAAGTGTGTACAAGTCTTACAGTCTTTTTCAATTTATTTTATATTGATTTATATGATTGATATATGATTTTTATTCATATTTTAAATTGAACTCTGGGAGTTAGAGATTGTTGCCTATCTTAACGAGTGTACCCTTTGTAGGCTTAAAAAATTACCTGAGAAGAAAAGAACGTCTGCCTTGATCCAGATCTAAACAAGCTGCCCATCATACCGTAAGACATGTCCATTTTGTGTGTAACGTCCCTTATAGATGTCCTAAGTTTTGAAATATCTGGTTTTTCTTTCGCACTACTGTCCAAGTTTCTGTAAAAACAATACAATGCAAAATACCAAAGGTTTAGATATGAAAAACTTTAGATATAAAAAATAATTTAGTATATACTTCTTATACATCTAGACAAACATAAGAATGGCAGGAAAGTTGATATACAATACCGTTTTTTTACATTTTAACTGTATGTTAAAATTATTGGGAAACATTTTACCGTTTTATAAGAAAACATTCCTCCTCAATGGAATAATGCAGTCATTACTTTTTTACACAAGCAAGGAAACATAACAAATTTAAAAAACTACCGTCGTATCAGTTTGCTTTCACACATATATAAACTTTTCACAAACATTGTCAAAAAAAGACTACTAAATTGGACTTCTATCAGCCTAGAGAACAAGCAGGATTTAGAGCGGGATACAGCACTAATGACCACTTACTAGTTATAAAGACATGCATAATATAAACATAACCAAATATATCTACCAAAATACAACCGCTAGCGTAAGACTATCTGAACAAGAAATAAATAAATTCTGTACACAGCGAGGAGTACGTCAAGGAGAGACCATCTCTCCAAACCTATTTACGATGCTTTTAGAACATACTTGTAATAAGACACATCTAAACGAGCATTGGAGAGAAACTCAGTCATTTGAGATTTTCGGATGACATCGCCCTTATAGCCGATCGTATGGATAATGCAATAATAATGTTTGAAAAATTATATCACGCTTCCTTGGAGGTCGGACTAAAGACTAATATGAACAAGACGCAAATAATGACTAATCTGGTGCTAAATCTAAAATGTATAAGTGCCAAGGACATGAAATTCAGTTGGGCAAAGATAAGAAGACATGTGAGTTCCCACGCATAGGATTAGTCTGGGCAGCGTTTGGTAAATTAAACTATGTATTTAAATCGGACCTACCCATATGTGACCGAACCTACCGAATCCTAAACGAAGAAATACGTCGTAGAACAAAAACAACAAACCGATGGACAAAACGTATTGAGTGGAGACCAAGGCAAGAAGCAATACGAAGCAGAGGACGCCCAATAACTAGATGGACTGACGACCTTAAGCGTGTTAACAATAACTGGATGTTAGTCGCACAAGACAGAGACAGATGGAAAGAGCTGAGGGAGACCTATGTCCAGCAGTGTACGCATACAGACTAATAGTGATGAAGGTATAATATAACATTTTTATTATTGGTTGTTGTTATTTGTTGTTTCTTATTGATTTGTTAACAATCTTTAAACTAACTAAACCTTAAACCTAAAGCCACAGAATACGATTGACATTTCGGCTTTTTGCCATTTGCCAATAGAACTTTATCAAAGAAATTTGATAATTACAAGTTGAAAGAATTGCACACCCACACAATTTGTACATCTAAGCTTATTCATTGTCATAAAACCGTCACCTTCATAAAACAAATACTCATACACAATAAACAACACACATTTCATAAATATATCTCTGGAATAAGTATAAATAACTTTTAAATGGTATATAACATCACTTTCATCTAACAATCACAATACACCTATCTCTATTTCATTGGATCAAATCTATCTCCTCAAGAACTTCTCGTTTACTGTCAAACAACTACAATAGCAGACTTAAGTTCTCCATTCAACAATACATGATAGTTTCAACCATGTTCTACCATCCATCAATTAATAGAGTACCGGCATGTAAGTAATGTTTATTTATTTGCTCATTTATTAATTTATTACAACCTAATAGACTATTTTATAACAATTTGTGGGTTTTACCTTGTCTGTTTAAACTTTTTATACCTTTTTATTCATTTGATTCATGTTGAAAAACCACAGACATGTAATATTGGCATAATTCTTGTAATTTATAAAATTTGTTTATCTTTATTAGACAACACCCTAATATGGGTTTTTATTATTTCAGCATTTATTTAACTTTGTATCGAGACCTGAAGATGCTTTGCATATTGTAGAAAGCGAAACCGGTCGTCTGAATAGTTAAATTAAATTGATTGTGAGTAAGTCTTATTTATTATTTCTTTACCTATTTGCATTTTTGTCTATTTATGTCTACTTTGTATACTCCATTCCACGAATATACGACTGTTTTAAATTCGCTTTAAGGTGTCGACTTAAATGGTCCAATGTGCTGAATTGTACAATAGTAAATTCTCCCCATTTTTAAAATACTGTTATGACAGATATACACCTTAGATTTAAATATGAAGTTATGATCTAAATATAGAATTGATAGTTTATAGAATAGTTCTAATTCAGATTTTGATGTATACTCGTATAATTACTCTCATTGACTTTAGTATTGTAAACAAGTTGGTTTTTGAATTAAGTGATTTAAACAAAGTGTAACAATACTTAAGTGATTAAATAGTTTAATTTATTTAGTCGAATATTCAATTAGTATTAAAAAAACAAAAAAAACTTACTCTTACCCTTATTCTTCTTATCACCATTACAAACAAATACACTACACTAAACTCTCTCTTAACGGACACATCTCTTCACCGGACACCTCTATACGGACGGTTTTTAAAACTAAAATCAGTCGGCGATTTATGAAACTATGTAAATTTTCGTTACTTTTTAATATCTGTAATTACTCGGTACTTTAACTATCAATAGCCGCCATGTTATACCCGCTACTTTCGGAACTTTTAAGAGTATATCCACTCAAAGCAAACCAAAAACTAACAAAGTGGAATACTATAACTACTGTGGAATACTATAAATACTTTTAGATTCTTTTTCTGGTTTCTGAACCTTCTGCCAATTTCTTTTTATTTATATTAAAAATAATATATTTCTTTTTATTACCGTTGTAGTACCTAGTAATAAAGTAATAAAGATACCCGGCTCGCCTCTTTGGTGTTTACATTTCACCGAAATCCAACCACAATTTAATTTTCGGATTAATTTTCACAATAAATTTTGCGTCTATCTGAACATCTATTAACTGAAATAATTTTAGTTTATATGTCATAGCAACAGAAGATTCTTTTTTATGGAATAATAATTAGACCAATTTACTTTCATACTTCTACTTGTACAGTAAAATATTCGTTGTAGCAATAATTCCAAACAGTCGTATATTCGTGGAATAACCTAAATAAAAGTTTTCATATAATGGAGACAATTATGAAGATACAGCACAATATATCATATATGAACAATTCTCATTCTTTGTTTGTTCGGATGTCTAATCACCAATAACTAATATTAATATTCAAAGGAAAGGTCATCTCTAAGAAAGTGACTGCCTCTAAATATAGGCCTTATAGCAGCGACGTAATATATAACAAAGGGTTTCCGATATCTCGATAACAAATTTTTTTGTGTCTAACTTGGCTATAAAAAAGAGGAACTTTTTACAAATGAAATATCTTGTAATAGGTGAAATAATAATTTAGATCTGATATCGTATAGTTGAATTCGTAGATCTGAAGCGGCATCTGGTCTAGTACGGAACTTGTTTTTGGTGTAAACTTAAGCTGAAAAGCCAGTTTCGTATCGGTAAGTGGAGACAAAGGTATAAGAACCTTTTCAACTACGCAAAATACTCAGCATTCAGACCGAGCCAAAAAATGTTCAGTATTAATTATTCAAGAATTTCACAGAGGATGAACTCTTAATATGAACTCATTGCTTTTGAGAGTGGCTGTCGCAATAGTAGACGAAACTGCATGAATAAACAAATTTCAGACACGACCTATAAGTCTCGAATATAATGTACTATTATAAATTATTTGAATTAAAAGAAGATAAAGAATTGCCTTTTTCAAACCCAACTACTTACTTGTACATTTCTCCTAATTTAATATCCAATCCCTGTAATTCCTCAAACAGCTGACACTTATCAGTCCACACGTGCAACTCTCTAACTAATTCGGGCACGATCAAGAAGGTACGCCAACCTCTGATCTTCTTACTCTTCAAAATATCACCGAAAATGTGATCCCCAACATAGAGCACATCTTTTCCTTTGGCTCCGATAAATTTCGTAAATACATCACAAGAACCTCCGGAATAGACGTGGTCGGACAGCAGAGGACCGGTATGAACGCCTACTCGAAGTCCTCCGGTGGAAGTGTCCACTTGGCGGAGGATAGTTCCTTCGCCGAAGAAGAGTGGTTTACGAGCGTCGCAGACGACTATATCAAAGTAGGTTTTCCAGTTTCGATGAGGATCTTCGGGCTGAAAAAAGGTGTTTTTATTAAGATTTATAATGGTAATAATTAAACTTTGTATCGTTATAAATGTTTTCCTAAAAATAGTTGGCACACAAAGTTTGTTAAATCTAAATACAGAGCGGCAAAAAAGTGGCCACCCTATAAATATTCGAAAATAAAACTTAATTGGAAGTTTTATGCACTGTTTCATATTACATCTCAAAGTTAATTATTTTTTGCGGTCTTGTATGCTTGTTTTTGACACATTCAACGTTTATGGTCCCGGTCGTAGAAGAGTTACCTCGCAAAGAGATGATCGTTTTATTGTAATGGAACTTGTAAAAAAATCGCTATTCCACTGCAATTGCTGAAGAAACCGTCTGCAGGAGGTTCAAAATGGGAATGTAAGTGAGAGAACAGTTCATTTATCAGGATCAATTTCGTTTTTATGCATGATAATGCACGGCCGCATACTGCAAGAATCCTGACGTATTTCTTGAAGAAAGTTGGAATCAAGACTCTAGAACGGCCAGCCTGCAGCCCCGATCTGAATATCATCGAACATCTTTGTAGGATGAACTTCATTGTAGAGTTACAAGTCGACCAGACCAGCCATAAAGTCTTGCATAACTTCAAAACATGCTTTGTGGAGAGTATGAACGTATTCCCCAAGTTTTTATTCAAAATTTTTTCCTTTCCCTTCCAAATCGTATGCAAACGGTTATTGATTTTTTAGGACATAATACACGACATTAGACAATTTTGTTTAAGTTCATTCGTAATTTTTATTGTTTGTAATTCGTTTTAATATTGCACTATTTTCTTTTGTAGCTTGCTACTTAAATAAATCATGCTAAGAAATCAAACAGTAATGGCCATTTTTTGTTTTAAAAATAAAAAAAATGAATAAAAATGAATTTTTATTTTCGGAAATTTATAGGGTGGCCACTTTTCTGCCGGTCAGTGTAACCTGATTAATTTGTTTTAATTAATTTTTATTTTAGCTTTTTACTTTTCGTATAACCCTTGTATATGTCGTGTCATTTTAACGTTGGTAGAATTGTTGGCACTTGCCAACGTAGCCTTTCTAGTCTCGTGTCTTCCAATTTGTCGTCAAATTCATCCCAATACATAATGTCGAACATTTACTTTTCAAACTACATTGTTTTCTTCAATTAATATTTTTTTCAATTTTTTCTGTTTCCCCTTTAAAAATAAATAAAAGTAAATTCATTTTCACTATTTCTTGTCTTCTTGATATGCAAAATTTATGCTCTATTTTGGAACCAACAGCAGATAAGTGTTAGTCCCTTATAAAAAGTCTAATTAGTTAATTTGATTATGCATAAAATGTTGCATATCACGTTGGCATTTTTTAGTGTATTTGTGTTACATTCTTTCAAGTATAAATTTATTTATTACAACTTTTTTGTTTTGTTTTATTAGTTTTCGTAAAAAAGAATATTCAAATTTCAGTTTTTTTAGTACTTTTCATGTCAAGTTAAACAGGAATTTCACATTTTTAACGCTTACCCTTACTATAAATATTAGATGATAACAAAATTTCTTATCCATTCACGACTATTTAGCAATGTTGGTTAAAATTTATATAAAAAAATTACCCTAGGTCCATGCGAGAAATCGAAAAGGTACGTCATTATTTTATCGGTATACGTATAATCGCTGTTCGTTAATAGGAAAGTCTTGGCTCCACTCTCTCTTAACCTACTCAAAAACATTGGAAGACGTTCATCTTTTTTGACATATTTTTCTAAATTTTCGATTGTCCTATTTTTGAGGTCTCCTTGTAGATGGACATAGTCTACTGCGTTTCTAACATCCTGAAAATAAAATAAGTTAATATTTTTTACAAAAATTCAAGCTACATAAAATCAAGGTTATTTTTTCTGAAATGATAATCAGGCGTGGTATCTACATTTATTGCTTTTCTTGTTTTGTTTTATGGCTAGTGGCTACGTCAAACAATTAATAAATATAAGAATTCAGGGAATTAAAACACGTAGTAGAAATAAAAACAACTCAAAGATTATTCTATACCTGCGTGGCCCAATAAATACTTTATTTTTTGTGCGACCAAAAATTTAGACATTTTATTTTTGAATACAGCCTCCTACTCGCTAACACACTCATTCCCACGATATTCCAAATTTGCAATCCTTCAATTTTGGGTCGATGGATACAAAACTATGCTTCAGAAACATGGACCATAAAAATCCAATTCGAAGCTTATAATGGGCATTTGAAATGTGGGTCTACCGTAAAATGTTGAACATATCACGTACTGCACATCGCCCAAATAATTCAATTTATTTATTTACAAAGCTTAACAGGTCTTGAAGGCGTAGGGCTAAAATACAATTATTACAATTGATATAATACTTTTATATGACAAAACTTGTATCAACTGGGGTGGCTTCTTGTCCAATCATGCTCCTTGCCTACTAAATTGGCTTACTATTCTCTTCCATTAATCCCTGTTTGTTGCTCTTTTATCCCAAAGTTCCCTCTTTTCTGAGATCTTAATGTACGCTATCAAACCATCTTTGTTTGGGTCGTCTTTTTCTTATTTTCGTGATTGAGCCTCGTTTTAGAATCATCTTTGGCATCCTCTTCCTTTCCGTTCTCATCACTTGCTCAATCCATCTCACTATCTGTGCTTTTATGAAACAACTGATTTTTAGTTCGTTATACAGTTTCTCTAGCTCCCTGTGTGTTCGTCACACCCAACCTTAGACCGTGATTTTGCCTCTTGGCAAAAACCATCATTACTGTTACTTATTTAGATCAGATTATATAAAGAGAGGTGGCCTTTCGGCCTATTCCACTGCGACCTTTTCAGATCTATTGTGGTCCTCTAGTCCGAGATAACATTCTCTAGCCTGACACTCTTTATAAGGTCTAGTAGCTTCGAGACTGTACCTTTCATGTAGCTATTTGCCGGTGGATTTTCTTCTCCTAGTGCAAAAAATCGCACATTTGCCAGACTGTCACACTGACATAAAATGTGCTCTGCTGTTTCTTCTTCGAGGTGACAGAATCTGCACAGGTCATCATCTGATAATCCCATCAGCTTCAAGTGCCTATTCATGTTACAATGTCCTGTTAGAAGACCTACTATGGCTTTGACTGTTTTCCTGTCTTTGCTAATTAGGTCTGCCGTAAATTTTGGCTAATGTTCTGTAATGAACTATTTCGCCTGTCTTTCTCCTGGTGAATTCCTCCACCATTCCAGAGATTTGTGAGCTACCCACTTCTTTGTAGCCGTTCTTGTTACTGACTTTGCAACGCCGCAGAAGGGTTCCGGTCTACTCTGGCATTCAATTCTCATTCTTCCTGGCCTTTCTATTCTATAATAACCTCCAGATAAGTAAAATGGACGACTCTCTCGAAATTATATTCCCTTGATTTATTAGATATGAAAGTAAACAGCCTCTTATCTTTTTGCTCTGTATTTCCGAGTATCATGTACTTTGACTTTTCCTGGTTTATTTCTAGGTCAAAATATTTTGCCTTTTCTAATCTTTTTTAACATTTTGTAATCCATTTCTTGTTTTCGTTAGAATAGTAAGATGGATTCGGTCGTTTTATAATTAAATTAAAAAGCAACGTGGATAACAGATCTTGTCTAAGACCTCTATTCACTTTAAACTCATCCGATGAAAATCCTCTCCATACTATATGATTTCATGTAGCTAATGTCTCGTAACAAGCATCCAGCAGAGCAACACCTCTGTAATTTTCACATGCTAATTTATCCTGTTTTTTGTATATAAGGCATAATAAAGTTTTGGTCTAATCTTTGGGCATATTTTTCTCTTCCCATATCCGCTTGATAAGACCGCATTTCCGCGGCTATTTCGTTTTCTCCCGGTCTTTTGTTATTTTTGAGAACATTGATATCTTTAATTTTTCCTTCTCTCGACAGTTCCATTATTATGCCATCATCCCGTAAACGAAAATTTTCATTATTATCTAATGACAAATAATTCAATAGAAAAACTTAAATAAAAAAAACTTAATATAAACACTAGACACAACAACTATCAACCAAGATATAAGATATTTTGGACATATAACTAGAAGAGAAGGCAATCATGGAACAAATGATATTGAAGGAAATGTAGCTGGCAAAAGATCCAGAGAAAGATCTTCAGATCGGATCAAATAAAGAATATGACTGATTACCCATTCTTCGAAGCAAAATAACACGCACAGGAGAGAGATCATTGAACAGCGCAATAGTCAAACATATTACATGACGCCACTACATCCTTACAAATGAGAAAAGATAGAGGAACAGAAACTTCTTCTTTGAGCGCCTCTCCTATTGGAGATTGGATATCATTATGGCAATTCTAATTTTATTTACTGCTGTTTTGAATAATTCGTTAGTGGTACAGCCAAATCACTCTCTTAAATTTCTCATCCAGGACATTCTTCTACGGCCTGGACTTCTGCGTCCTTGGATTTTTCCTTGCATTATATTTTGTAGAAATGTGTACTTTTGTCCTTTCATCAGGTGGCCTAAGTATTCAAGTTTTCTCTTTTTTATATTCAGGATAACTTCTGGGTCGTTATTTATTCTGCGTATTACCTCTTCATTTGTAATTTTATCCACCCAACTTATTGTTAGTATACGGCGGTAGCACCACATCTCAAAAACAGAAACGATTGCAACCCAATATTTTTTTAACCATAAAAACTTAAATTAATATTTTTTTTAATTAAACTACGATGTTACTTTATGGGATACAATCACGTTATTAAAAATCCAGGATGGTTGTCATCTTATAAGATTCTTTTAGAGAGGACCAGATATTTTTAGTTGACAAAAATATGAAGAGATAAAGTACTTTAGTTGCCCAAAAAACTATTGATCTAGGTTTTATTGTACAGAACATAAATAGGATGCGGATGCGATAATAGTTCAATTAATGATCATAATTGAAATGCATATTTTGATGTTTTTGGGATGAAGCTAATAACTGTTAAAGTGTCATTCAAAAGAAGGCCAGACGAGCTTCCAAATTAAATAAGACTTGCCTTATTTAAAAAAAAGTGGTACAGTAGGCGGTACTGTAGACCAGCGCGCAGCGTCATACTATGTTTTCTGTATTTTAAAATTTTAAATAATATTTTTAAAATGGAATAAAGTAATTTTATTATTTATATATTATTTTTTATTTTACGATTTTTTTAGAATCATCGATTTAAAATTTTTTTATTTATTTCAAAATATACATTCAAAAGTATTTAAAACCGCTGTTAGTAATATCCTTGTTATAGATTTTAATAAAATTGAAAAAGTTTACATGTTGTATAACGGACCCTCCTCGTCGAGTAAATAGACTCTTCCAACTATTTCGTGTCGCTAATTTCATGACGATCGCCTCAGCATTTTACTGTAGAGAAAAATTAATGCAACACCAGTATAGAAGCTTCACTTTAATAATGTTACAAAAGAGCGTTCGTTCGTGATTTATAATGATAACTTCTGAAAAGTCTTCAAAAATTGTGACTTTTTTGAGTTACAAAAAATGGATCAATTTAATCTTACGGTTCAGAAAATATGAGGGGAAGACTTTAGACGGGTACTATATATTGCAATATGATATAAAGGACGACTGTAAATCGGCCTGTATCAAACAACTAAAAAAAGTAAAGTTGACTTACCTGAAAAATAGATTTGTACGACATCAGAAGTTCTCCACATTTTACTCCCGTGTCGGTTTTGGAGTATTCCTTACAATTGGTGAAAAAGTCTACTAAACAAGCTAACAAATAAGTCTCAGGTAAATTAAATAGTGTATTCAGTACGTACACTCGAGATTCGTCCAGCGTTAAAAATTTATTGGGATATAGTTCATAAACACGGGAACTGAAACATGAAAAATATTATAAATGAAGGAAATAAATATATATATAATAAAATATGTTTTATTCTTATAGAAGACGAAAAATAAACACACTGATTCGATGTTATGTAGATGAAACTATTAACTGTATGATGTAAACCCATATAACAAACACTCTAAGAAGTCATGGAAATAGAGGATGGAGTATATATGACATGAAAATGGCGTTGATAGATATTTGAAAGGGGGCAGAAATTCGAAATTTTGCATGTGTAGTAGAAAGTGGTCCTGATGTATGAGGAAGGGAAATGGCCAGATTAATAAAATAATTATTGACAGAATTTTTTCGTAGTGGAAGGTAATCTGATGAAGCATGAAAATAATGATTTGTATAAGTCGGTTTTCTGTACACCGAAGGATCTCATCGATCATTCGGTCTACGAGTGACCAACGCACCGAGAAAGGGGAGGAAGAGAATATTTCATACCTTTCTAAATCTTATGTTTCGATTTTTCATGTGTGCATTCATATGATTGAGAAAAGGAGGAATGGTGTTTGATAGTGAGCCATGATAAATGTACCATCAACGTAGTTGAACCATTTTTTGGTTTCAGGGAATATGATTCCAGGAGAGAGGACTTGAAAGTCTTCATAAGAAATAGTAGGAAAAATAGAAGAGCCAATTTTGGTTCCAGACACTTATCTGAAGAAATTGCCTTCAAGAGGAAATAGAAGATCAGCCAGTGACAAAGACTTGTCATTGACTAGATGATTCAGCGAAACAACGAGCAAATCTTAATGGGATTTTTGGTAAATAGAAACCATACATCAAAGTTCATAGAATGTCTTGGTTCGACTGTTAGAGACGAAATCAATCAATCAACTGTGTAGAATTGCGAACGTATCAAGACGTACGACCAGTATAAGACTTAAGTTGGTTTGTATGCAAGTTGGTTTTGCAATGGGGAAGGGGTACGTTTTCTTTGAGTATTTTAGGAGATCGTAAATTTTAAGACAGATAAAATTTTTAATAATTATAAACGTTTTGATATTGCCTGATCAAAAGATTAGTTAATAATTTTTATTTATCTTTCTGAAGTTAGTCTTTAATATTTTTGACTTGGATGAGACTTATCTCAACCAAGACTACACACTAGAAAATATGTGGTAGAATAACAACGTTCATAACGAATGACAAGATTCTTAGAAGCAGTATCTACTGAAACTAGATTCAGGGTTAAAGCACAAAGGCTTATAATTACGAATATAAGAAATATTGTTAAGGACTAACTGACTAACAGTTAGCTCTAGACTCCAGCACAGATCAGAGGTAATATAAGTCGATAAAACCGCACCAGCTACAGGGGGTAAGATGCCCCCATTTTCAGTTTTTATTAATCAACAAGTTAACAGTCTATTGCATTTACCTTTATAAATACCATGAGGATTGTTTTTTTAATACAGATATCCTACCAACTTTTTATTAAACTGATGATGGAATGATTCAATTCCGAAAATATCTTCTTTAAAATAAAAATTTTAAGCTTTGAATAAGCATTTTTTATATACCTTAATACACACGAACACCACGTGCTTTGCATAACATTACATAGATCCCACAAACTGGATGAATAGTATGTACTATAACAGAGCCCTCTGTAACACAGCATTTGGAAGACGAGGAATTGTTGGATATGGTGAAACAAGTTCCAAATTTTTGACAATTTTCCGTGCCATATTCAAGCTGTGGAGAGATGTGTTAAGGTAATTACTGACGCGTCAATAAAAGTGTGTGGTGGAGAATCTAGAGATGGTTACATACGAGCTTAACTTGATGCCAGAAAGAATTTGCCTATATTTAAAAGTAAATGTCAATATTATACTTCAAAAAGTAAGTAAAAATGTTGTAAGCTAAGAAAGGTGGTTCGGTTGAACTCACCGTGCAGCTACCTCCGCATGGTGAGTTCTGGGTTAAATGGATATACGGAAAAATGTTAAATATCAACATAATACGAGGCATGTTTTTTAAGTAAGTACCGTTTTGCGATTCCGCCGCCGCAGTGCTACGGTTGGCGTTCCGCGCATGAGCGCTGGTTACATACATCTCTTGTCTACGCATTGACGCCATTACAGTCTGATTCTTCATTGTATACTTGTTTACTCCAGTGTTTAAGATGCCTCCAACAATCGTGAATAACGCTGATTGTGAAGTACGGGCTGTTATACGATTTCTTAGTGTTAAAGGCGTAAAACCGATCGATATCCATCGTGAGATCGTTGAAGTTTACGGACAAAACATTATGAGTGATGGAATTGTAAGGAAATCGGTGAGAGCATTTAAAGATGGCCGCACAAATGTGCATGATGAAGAACGGAGTGGGCGTCCTTCGGTCATTAATGAAAATTTGGTGCAGAAAGTGGACGAAAAGGTTAGAGAAAACAGACGCTTTACAATTTCATCATTGTCCGACTGCTTTCCTCAGTATTCTCGTAGTGTTTTTTATCGCATTGTTACCGAGAACTTGAATTACTGGAAATTCTGTTCACGTTGGGTTCCAAAAATGTTGACGGATTTGCACAAAACCCAACGTTTAGGCAGTGCATTGACTTTCCTTGAGCGGTACCACAGTGAAGGTGAAGATTTTTTAGACCAAATTGTTACTGGTGACGAAACGTGGGTGGCCTACGTCACACCAGAATCGAAACAACAATCCATGAAATGGCGACATTCATCATCACCCTAAAGAGTGAAGTTTAAGCAAACAATTTCTACCCGGAAAATCACGTGCCCAGTTTTTTGGGACAGAAAGGAGTATTGCTAGTGGAGTTTCTGCCTCGCAATGAGACAATCAATGCAGCGTCTTATTGTGAGACATTGAAAAATCTGCGTCGTGCAAAGTAAGGGTATCGTTTTGCTGCATGACAATGCCCGTCCACATGTGGCTAATCAGACCAAAGATCTCATCAAATCATTTAAATGGGAAACTCTAGATCATCCTCTATACAGCCCTGATCTGGCGCCCACTGACTACCATTTGTTCCTGCACTTGAAGAAACACCTGGGCGGTCAGCGTCTTCAAGACGATAACGAAGTCAAAGTATTTGTGATGCAGTGGTTAACAAGTCACGCGGAAGAATTTTATCAGAAGGGAATTCAAAAACTGGTGCCACGTTATGACAAGTGCCTCAATATTCACGGAAATTATGTAAAAAAGTAGATTAAGGTACAGGCTTTTATGTAAAAATAAAATTATTGCCATATTTTTGCACGTCTTTTTTAATTACAAAACGGTACTTACTTAAAAAACACGCCTCGTATTTCAATGCATAGTACCTTTTGTGCCGAATATTAATTTAAGCAGTGATCTGCACAGTTCACAACACATAAATAATAAATATGCATTTTTTACCCTTCTTTTACATTTTTAGTCCTGGGGGCCGGACATTAATATTTTAGATATTTAGATAATAGCCTGCCCCAAAAATAAAGTAAAAACAATGTTTTTATTCCTCAAGGGCCTGGTCAAAAATAATTTATTTCGGTCTGTTTGGTACACAGTATTAGGATGACCATATACAACTTTTTTACTAGCCCGTTTAATGTTTCCTACAAAAAAATGTTTGACCTTTTTCAGCCCGGCATCGATATACTAAAATACATTAAAATACATGTATTTTAATTTGAAGTAGGTACTAAAAATTGAAAGAGTTTTTCAAATACAATTTAAAGTTAATGAATATCATTATGAAGTGCAATTATTTTTGTTTCTTACTGTCGAAACCACTAAAAAATGAAATACCTGCAATTTCTGCGTATAAAAAATGAATACCTTTATTGAATACTTTTGAAAAATAAATAGTTGTTTAAAAAGTACTTACTGCTTTATAAATTCGAATCCATGTACACATACTAAAATATTTCCATATGCGTCTACTTTTAAAAGATTTCCATACAATGAGTCGAACCACAATCCTCTAAAAATACAATTAAAAAATAATAAATGTATGAAAAAAACCAGAAATTCAGAATATAATTATTGTTTATTGTTAAATATTTTAATAATAAACATGGCTTAATAATATAGCATTAATTTGTATCTACATTCCTCAGAGCTTCAACATTGTTTATAAATTTTCTAGCTTTAGTGGTCTTTTTGTACTTAATACTAAAAGTTGTCGATAGTTTTTTGAACAATTCTGGTAAATAATTGATCGTAAACAGATCAGAATCTGAAGGATCTGCCATGTGTAAACATTTATCATCATTGGCACTACATTGCTTTAGGGACCAAAGCCTTCTTTAGAATACTCCCCCATTCCATGCCCAATCCTCGTGCTGAAGCGTGTTACCTTAATAAATTTCACATATAAATATAAATATAAATAAATTTCCGTATATTCGTCTTAAAATATTTCGCTCCAAAAACAACTCTTATTCATTCTGATGGAGTGACTGTTAAAACTGGTCTTATTAGTTTGCCATACACGGACAGTTTAATTATTTTTTCAAGTTTTGAGGCCATTTGTCTTCCCAAGCTATAGAAACGCACATATATTTCGTTTTTTGAGCATTTATTTTTAGTCCCATTTTCTGGTTTCTGGTTTCCAAGGAACCGCTTCTGTATATCTAGTGAGTCATAGGCTGCCTTGAAGTTAACGAATATATGGTGTGGCTCGACTCTACTACTATTTGTTCGGCGTAAGAGAGCATTCTGTTGTGTAATACATTCGATAGTATTGTGTATGCCAAGATGTCCCTCTTCTTGTTAAGTGGGCATAGCATACTTAATTTCCAGTTAGTGGGTGTTTTCATCGTAGGTCGGATTTCATTTACTAACTTAGAGTGTGTGTTGTGTGTCGCCGCCGTTTTTACAAAGTTCGACAGGGAGATTATCCGTCTCAAGGGCTGTTATTTTTTAATTTTGAAATGACATCTCTTATTTCTTTCTCGGTGGAAAAGAATTCTTAAGTATTTTAAATTGTTCCCAGTATCACGAGCTTTATCAGGTCTTCTTGATTGTTATTACTTAATGGTTCTTCAAAATGTGTAGAGCACCTGTTCAATATTAATCTAATTCTAATTATAGAGCCGTCCTTATTTTTACAGTATATTATTCTATTATATTCTTCTGTTGGTAAAATTTTCGTGGATATTGTAGCGTCATTATTAACTATTTTGTTCAAGGCATTTTCATACTGCTCTTACTTTTTACTTCTGAGGTTCTCTTTTTTTTTCTCCAAGATTTTCATAATGTTTCAGGTTAACCGCATTCTGCGCTGCTGAAGTCTTTTATACGCTTCATTTTTTTTTTTGCTGATTTATGGACTTGCACTCTTCATCGGATCAGTCATCATTTCTTTTAGCCATTAGATTTCAAAGAATCTAATGCAATAAGTATTCCTGGATCTTTCAGATTTTAGAGCATCAGTGTTGTATTTTGTGCCTTCGTACCATGGCCTTTTTTTGGAGTTGGATATACGGTAAAGGTCATGGTTGCAGAATGGGGAACAAAGAAATCCAAATATTATGTTACGCAAACGACGCCGCATAAATCGCCGACACAAAAGACAAGCTCCAAAGATTAACACATATCTTCAATACAACAGCCAAGAAATACAACATGATAATATCAGCGGAAAAAAACAAATGTATGACAACAAGAAGTAACGATAACAAAGCTTAAAAGCAAGTAAAGCGGCGGGACCTCTTAATGACACAATTTGGAAAAACAAACATCTAAGACAAGACACAAAAACAAGAATCTATAAAGCGGCAATTAAACCTATATTAACACACATGGCGGAGACAAGACCTGACACATCTAAAACGAGACAACTATTAGAAACCACTGAAATGAAAATACCCCGACGAATATCAGGGAAATGTCTGTTGGATAGGGAGAAAAGTGAAAACATAAGAAGAGCATGCAATATAGAAGACATAAAAGGATGGGTGACAAAACGGAAACAGGAATGGAACGAACACATTAGTAGAATGGCAGAGGATAGGATAGTACGAATAGCACGAGATAAATCACTAAATAGACGAAGAAGTATTTGCAGACCAAGAAAAAGATGGTGCGATAATTTAAACAATTTAGGAGGTTAATATTGAAGAAGAAACAGGCTTTAAAGGTTACATTCAAGAAGGAAGAAGAAGAATATACGGACTGAGTTTTTTTCTGAGTAGGAAGTGATCTGAGTCTTTATTATCACCTCTATATACTCTTAGATTCAACACGTCAGAGAAATGCTGACTATGGATATGTATATGATCGATTTGGTTTTTTTTTTCAGACTGTCTGGAGAGTGTCATGTGGACCTGTGTATGTTTTTGTGGTGGAAAGACGTGCTTTCACCATTCATAACAATATTGCGAGATAAATAAGGTGTAGACCATTTTGTTTGCTGGTCGTGTGGAGACTATAATCTTCAGTGGGTGCATGGATATTTATTTATAATACTGTAATTGAAGAACTTTCCTTTAGTCTAATTTTTTGCTATCCTTGGACTTGGATGTAGAGATAAAGCTATGACTGTAGATTTAAATGGTTTATTAAGTAAGAATCCCATGCCAAAAATGTGATCGGTTTTATCACCGCTGTAATAGGGGATGTACCTACCTATTTCTCTTCAGATTGCTACTACCTATACATCTGACTTCCTTAAGAGATATGATGTCCACTGCGCATTAATGCATTGATTTTGATAATGCTTCTTAGCTTCCCTGCACTGTAGAGCGCAATATGAATAAACCAATGTTATTAACCTTGTATCGATCGTTGCCAACATATCCGTCCCATTAATTATTCTGAATTAATTAGCAAAGGAAAGTATTTTATCTGGTAGAGAAACTTCGTACAAAATCACGGCTTGCGACTTTCTGGCTACCTTAAAATTAAGATTATACCAAAGGTGGGATAATATATGGAAGGAATATTCCATTGTTAGCCCAAATAGATACACTTCTCTTCAAACAGATATTCCTAAAACACCTTGGTATAAGTCTTTTATTGTACCTAGGAAATATGTTACCACGATCATTAGACTGAGATTTGGACATGCTTGTTACCCCAAACATTTATTTAAACTCAAGGTTTTAGATAATGATCGATGTGAATTTTGTACAGAAGAAGGAAACCTAGATCATATATTTTTTCAGTTGCCCCAGAAATACTATAATTTCAGCCAGATTAATAAATAACTTACATAAATACAATATATTAGCCCCTTGGAACCTTCAGTACTTATTATCACTAGACTCGAGAGCAGTGTATGATTCCTTAGTTATAATTTAATATTCTGAAATTTTCGTAACCATAATTTGGTCGATAATTCTCTGAACAATTCTGGTAAATAATTGGTTATCGACAGATGAGAAATAAAGGATCTATGAGTTAATATTATGATGCTGGATACATCAACTGTGGAACAATTGTGGATAATCTAAATTAAATTTGTACTATTTAAAACTTTATTTTTGATGTGTCTGAGGAGACATTTGGTCTTTCATAGGGCTCACATATCCACATCGAGTTTAGATTCAGAATATTTCTTTCTTTTCTCTGGAGATCGATTATTTTTGGATTACGATAGTCCCTCTGAACATCTGCAGGTAGTAGTGTGATATTCCATTAATTATTTGTATTTTGTTGAATACAATTTGGTGGTTCTATTCTGTAATGTATTTTGCAATGGATCATCTTTCGCAGTAACACAAGACGAATTTCTTTTGAATAATAAATATATAAATTGAATTAATGAATAAATTTGAATATATCCTCTTATATTCAACATAACGAGTATTCAAACTTCTTCTTGTAGTTCCTTCTCATATCGGAGGTTGGCTATCATCACAGCTATCCATACCTTATTGGCGGCTGCTCTAAAAAGATCTACTGAGCTGCAACTATACCACTGTCTTAGGTTTCTCAGCCAGGAAATTCTTCGTCTTCCTATTATTCACACGTGTTGTTCCAATGTTCGTTGAACTAACTACAGGAATGTGATAAATTCCTGGCGTTGATAACGGTTCCCTTGGATCTTTGTGTCCCAAATATTTCCAAATATTTCAATTCTTCCCCAAATATTCAGGCTCACATATTCGGATAGCACAACATATTTTTGCTCAAGTAGCGGTTGGTGTGCGTGGGATGTCGATATACTCCGACAGTTTTCAGTTGATTTTGTAATTCTATTAAAGTTTAGTGCATTAATCAAATTTAAGAAATTTGTAAGTTCAGTCTACCCGAATTTGAAACGACAGGAAGAAATCATGTATAATCTATAAATTTCGAAAACAATGTACAATTAAAAAACATACCTGTGGTATATACATAATTAAATTGTCAGTTTTTAATGTATATAATGTACAGAGTGGCCCAAAAGTCTGGAAACGGCCAATTATCTCGTAAGTTGCTAGTTATAATAAAATTGTACAAAATTTGAGGTACACCTATTTTGGAATACGGAGATTCCATATTAGATATTTGCAATGTTGCCAGATTTTCCGTTTCTCTTATATTATTAGTAACTTTGGGTTTTTAAATGCATTGCCCTGTATATTTAGTCATTATTGGAATCTCCTATTCAATACGAGTTCAACCGTATGTAACACTTATCATTTTATGTAGTCTAAAAGGTCTTAAATACATAAAACACAAGTCTGGCAACGCCTAATTGTTTCAATAAATTTTTTAATACTAATTATTTTCAACTACATGAAAACGTAACAATTGATAGATTAGAACATTTTTTAACAATAGTTACGTTATTAAGTGTTCAAAATGTGCTCAATTTATGAGTTGACAGTACCCTAATCGATGGTAGAATGCGTCTTTCACATTTCTCCATGATGGTCTAGAAACAATTCGAGATTCATTGATAATTTGTTGCCTTAGCGCTGCAAGACTTGCTGGTTAAGTTTTGTAAACTGAATTTTTCAAGTATCCTAATAAAAATAATCTTTATGATTGAAATCGGGTTAACGTGAAGGCCATTCAATTCTACCTTGTATACCAATTTATCGTCCGGGAAATATCTTCTTTAACGCCGAACATTTACACCAACTATCTGACGTTAAATTTCTTTCGATAAAAAATGGCCCAATTTACTGAGTACCTACTATACCTGACGATACATTTAATTTTTGTGGTCTTTGAGTATGGTTTTCACGCGTTCAGTGTGAATTTGCGTCACTCCAGTACCTTAAATTGTGTCGATTTACACTTCCACACAGTGTAAAAATTGCTTCATCGGAAAACATATTCTGTTAACGAAATTTTAATAATTTTCAATTTTATCCATCATTACCTCAGTAAACTCCAATCTAAGATCGAAGTCATCTTCGCTTAATTCTTACAATAAGTTTATTTTGTATGGTTTAAACTTATTTTTATGTAATATACGTAAGACTGAAGAACGACCTACATCATGTACTTGTGCAACCCTGCCTGAGGATGTATGTGGATCTTCAACAAAACTTTTCTCTTTCCATCTATCTTTACCTTCTTCAGATTTCTCAAATCGCTTTACAGTTTTTTGTACCGTCGCCTTATGAATAGGAGAACGGTTTAGAGGACGGCATTTTAGAGAAGCAATTTAAATTGAAGAAATTTTCGAAACACAACTACTGTCAGTTTTCGTTAATAATGTAAATCGTGAACAAATGTCAATATCACAGCATTCTACATTTAAATATTTAAATTTATTAAAATCTACATATTTTGCACTGTTTTATGTATTTAAGACCTTCCAGACTACATACAATCATTAGTCTTACATATTTTTGAACTCGTATTGAATAGTTGAACTCGTATGAAATTTACACTGAATGCGTGAAAACCATATCAGATCACAAAAATTAAATGTATGATCAGGTATAGTAGGTACTTAGTCAATAGGGTCATTTTTTATGGAAGGAAATTTAACGTCAGATAGTTGGTGTAAATGTTCGGCGTTATTTAGATGAGATATTTTCCGTACTTATGGTACGGATTATTGGTAGACAAGGTAGAATTGAATGGCCTCCACGTTCACCCGATTTCAATCCTAAAGATTATTTTTATTAGGGATACTTGAAAAATTCAGTTTACAAACTTAACCAGCCAAGACTTGCAGAGCAAAGGCAACGAATTATCGATTACTCTCAAATAATTTCTAGACAATCATGGAGAAATGTGGTAGATGCATTCTACCATCGATTAGGGTACTGTCAACTCACCATTGAGCACATTTTGAACACTCAATAACGTAACTGTTGTTAAAAAATGGTCTAATCTATCGATTGTTACGTTTTAATGTAGTTGAAAATAATTAGTATCAAAAAATTTATTGAAACAATTAGGCGTTGGCAGACTTCTGTTTTATGTATTTAAGACCTTCCAGACTATAAAAAATCATAAGTGTTACATATAGTTGAACTCGTATTGAATATAATATTCTAATAATGACTGAATATAGAGGGTGATGCATTTGAAAAACCAAAGTTACTAATAATATCAGAGAAACGGCAAATCTGTAAATTTTGCAAATATCAAATATGGAATCTCCGTATCCCAAAATAGGTGTACCTCAAATTTTGTACAATTATAACTAGCAATTTACGAGATAATTGGCCGTTTCCAGACTTTGTGGCCACTCTGTATATATATTGTGTTGCCATATCTCAAAAATTAAGTAGCAGTTTATTGTAAGATTGTTACATAAAAAGACTTACCTTACTGCAAATGTTGGATCATACTCAAATTGTAAAATTTCTTGAGGGTATCCTATCGACACCATATGCTCCTTAACTAAATCGAAACCTAATTTTTCATATTCGGGAGATTTGTACTCTAAAAAAAGGAAAAATAAAAAGACAATTATACAGAAATAACAGGATTTTTATAACACTCTGACAATTTACGATGAATAAGGGTGTAAAAAGGGATGATAATGCAAAGAAGTGAGAGATCCTTGGTTTAAACTTATTACAAGGCTTTCCCACAAGGAATGGAATCCAGAATGAGATTTGATAGGTGATTCTTCTTCTTAGGGTGCCTCTCCGTTCCGAACATTGGCGATCATTCTGGCTATGATGACTTTTTTGGTTGCTATATGAAATAGCTGTGTTGAGGTCTTCTACACTATGCTCTCAGATTAGCATGCCGAGATAATCTTCTTCGTCCTGGGGCCCTTTCTCCTTCAATTTTACTTTGCAAAATGCATTTGAGTAGCTCATATGTGCCAAGTACTGCAGCTTACGGTCCTTCACGATGTTGACCGTACTCATTCATTGGTGAATTTGTCTGTCTACGGTATCTTCAGGATCCTTCTGTATAATCATAGCTCAAAAGCCTGAAGTTACGATAGAGTTTTCGCCTTCAATGTTCACCTTTCTACTCCGTACAGAAGCACTGAGTACACGTAACATTTAACTAGCCTTATATTTGTTTCTAGGATGAGATCATGGCTCTTCACACTATCTTAGAGCGCCTTCAAAAATGTGCTCATAGTACAGATTGAATATCAGTGGTGAAATTATGCCCCCTGTCTCACTCCCCTTAAGATTTCGACCTGATCTGTAAATTCTCCATCTATTCAGAGTACCGCTGATTGATTCAATACAGGTTAGCTATTATCGTTGATTGAATAACCCAAATTTGGGTTGTTCAATCAACGCTATTATTTTAAGGTTTCTTCCGTCAATTTCTGTCCTCTTTAATACTTACATCATTTGTTGATGCCTGAATCTATCGAAAGCCTCCTTGTATTTAATCAGACATGCAAAAATATTACAGGTGACATCTCTAAATTTCTGAAACAATACCTGCACGCTAAATAAAGCTTCCCTCGTACCAACGGCGTTCACAAATCCAAACCGATTTGGAGCAATTTGTTCCTCGCATTTCCGGTAAATTCTTTTGTGGGTGACTTTTAAAAACAGCTTCAGCAGATGGCTCATTAGGTTTATGGTCTTATAGTCTTCAGAAACTTTTACTCCTGGTTTTTTGGGCAATGGTACGAACTCCGATTTGAGCCAATCTAGCGGTATTTTTCCTGCCTTGTATATTTCATTAAATATTTCAGTTATTACTTCAGATAACAGCTTCAGCAGTTCTGCATGAATTTCATCAAGTCACGGTACCTTTCCATCCTTAATTTGTCCATCCATCTGGTAGGATTTCAGGACCTGAATTTTCTTCAATGGTGGGTTTTTGTATTATTCCAAGGTCGTGGAAAAGTATTCTTCCCATACATTCCTTTTATCTTCTTTGGTTATGGCAAGATTGCCTTCATCATTTATTATTTTTCCGCTGTTGCGTTTTCGGAATATTCCAGCTATTCCCTTCATCTTTCGATGGACATTGTATTTATCATATCGACCCTGATACTCCTCTATTTCTTGACATTGTTCTGTTTTTTGTTTCTTTTTGGCTTCTCTTATCTTTCTTCTGACCATGGTATGCATTCTTGGAGACCGTCTTTGTTTTTTTTTCTCTGATCCATAAGTTCAAGTATTTCATCGGCCATCCACGATTTCCGTTTCTCTCTATCTTTCTTCAGGGGTTGTTCTTATATTCTATTTTTTTTCTCACACATGTTCTCATGATAGGAGATACTATTTTTTTAAGGAGGGGAGAGTGGCAAAGCGGCACAGGTTCAATATTTTCTTTATTTTTTGGGTGTGATTGGACCTTTTCAGATTTTTTGGTCTATTTTGGCAACATGTGGAGGACAGCTGTAGGCGCTCTGGCTATTACTTCTATTAAGATAATGACTATCGTTGTGTAATAAAATTGTGAAACACAGAAAACCAGTCTCCCCCTGGTTTGTTGATATGATATACGATATTAACAAGGATGGTTTTAGAGGGCATCATAATATTCTACCCCAAGGTCAGGGACGAGGACGATAGAAGTCAGCAATAATGAAGGTAAGAATGGTATTTCGATTTGGGTGTCTGAAAATTAGAAAATTATGTCTTCTTAAAGACAAAATTATGATTATGACAATTAATTAGAAAATTATATCTTATGTCTTAAAAAATGTCCTCTAGGATGTCTGGGATGTCCTCAAAACGTATTTCTTGTCGAGAGATGGAATTCGGGGACGTGATAGGTTGTATGTCAGCAAGGTTATGAATAAGGGATGACGGGTAGAACTTAACTTTACTGAAGAGTCTACGAAGAATTTTCCTCGCCTAGGTCAGGATTATGTTCCTCTGTCGACGCTTAAGTAGTGAATACACGGTAATTTATTAGGGTTCTATGAAAGTTTTAAGAGTTTTTTGGCGGATTTTTATTAAATAAAAATGTTTTTGAGTTTTTCTGTAATTAAAAATTATTTGTTGTAAGTTTTTATAAATGTTCCTAACTGTTTTGTTTGTATGTTACGTTTTTATGCGTATTTGGAGCCATCATCGGCATCATAGCTTTTATCTCTACATTTGCTATTTTTAATAACTTTAACCTGTTTAACGGTCTACTGGAATTCCTCTGCCTTGCTGTCCTACTCCTTGCAGGAACTCAACAGTTGGCGATTCTTCATCTTGGTAATTATCATGTTTGTGTTGAACTTGCCCTTATCATATTAACATATCTAAACTTCCCCTGTTAGATTTACTTTTAATGTTATTATTTTTGGCGACTCCAGTCTTCTCCACCCCTCTCTTCTATTTCTATTACGTGTAATAGTCCAGTCTTCAAATATTTGGCCTCTAAAAATCATACGAACGAGCTGAATTTTGCTGAGAATGTCAATTTTGGAACCATAAAGAAGATGCAAACAAGTTTACTAGTCGTTCCCCCTAAAACGCCCTTTCGTAGGAGTAGAAAAACGGATAATATCCATTTATTTACCAAATATCTGTACGCCGTAGAAAAAAATGTTTCAAACAAAAAATGTAGCTGAGATAATTTTGAACAAAAATGTTTATTAGCACTTTTTGTGTAGAATGAACCGTTCTCCCAGAAACACCGCTTGAAGCGACCGACGATTTTAAACGTCAACTACGCCCTCAAATTCAATTTTAAATAAAATGTGTATTAACTCGACGGTAAAAATCGATATCTTTTGATAAGAGTGACCTATCGACAAAAAATAAGTTTTAAAAGAGAAATGTGCAGTTCTCGTATGCACTTTCTGTATTTTGCTGCAAATGAAGTCAGTTTTTATAAAGGTGTTACCATATTTTATGATTCTCATGAGATTAATAAAATTTATCACTTTCATTGACCGGTGGTAGTGGAATTTCCATTGTTTGAACCTAATCTTTAAAACATATAACATGAAATATCGATTTTGAGTTTTGGCAGCAAATATCAGGCATTTGAAATATGCAGAAAAAACGCTGAATTTAAACTTTTACATTACAAATGCACGTCACAGGAAATGTCTTCACGAAAACGATATTGAGTGGAGTTTGTAGGTGAGGCCAGGGCTAGGAGTGGTAAACTTTATTGCATATTGCAGCTTGTTCATAACAATGTGTCATTCGATCTCAAAGATCAAGACAAAGATCGTAGTTGTAAAGGACGTTTACATTTTCACTGTTGCTCCGGCTTATTATATTCGGCATATTCTAATTAATTTATAAAAAGCCTTTCCGAAATCAATTCAGTCGTCTAATTATTCTCAATTCTGCAAGCTATATTCGTTTTTTTTATTTGCCTTTTTTTAATCCAACATTCAGTGTCATAGGTTATAGCTGCTTTTGCGATGATTTTACAGAATTTACTGGAATTATGTCACACAATATACCACTCGCTTCATTACATTTCGTCCATACTGCCATAAGTCTACTGCACTAACGTTCCTCGATAAATATTATTTTACTTATATTAATTGCATTTTCAAATTAACATTTATGACAGATGTAAACCAATATAAAAATACATACCTGCTAAGGTATAATCCATATCAAAACCATAGAACTTGATGTTTTCGAGATGAAGACTTCTGTTGACGAATATTCTGAAATAAAAACCACAATATAATTCATAGTTATCACTTTTGCTCTAACAATTGAAAAAGTAAAAATGAAATTGCATTATATCTGCATATTTTCATAAAAAAAAATGTATAATGCCAATATTTTCAGAATGTGTCGATCTCTAATAAAATGTTTTAGATAAATTGGTAATTGGTAAAAAACCGTATTACAAAAAAAAATTAAACACTACATAAAACTTTTAATGGGACGGGTTTTCCGAAATGCAAAAGGTGCCGAACTGTCAGTGAACCTTTTAGGAATAAGTAGCTATATTAATTTTCGAAATTTACTATATTTTTATTTTTGGTTTTCGCATCGAGCAGTGTACACGTGTGTATTAAGATACATTTTAAAAGTGCATTTATAGCATAGTTATATTATGTAAACTGTGAATTCGGCAATTTGTTTATATTGCGATGTCCAAAGTAAGCGCTTGGATTCAGCCATATCCAGAATTAATACGATGGAGCAAAAGGATTTTGTCGAGCTTGCTCTAAAATTGTAAGTAACTATTTTCATTTAAGACAAGTGCAAGCCATGTTTCGGTAAAAAAACCTGTGAATAAGCTTTGGCTTTTTGCTTCAGATTGTTTCCAGATTGTTTCTCATAGGAAATTTTTAGTCGATCAGCATACTTACCCCCTTTAAAAAGTATTTTACAGGGAGAGATATCACATGACACTGTGGATGATAATAGACACACTATACAGTAAATAACTATAGCCGCAGCCTTAAAAAAAGCCAAAACCACTATACATAGGATACCAAAATCTTGAGATTGTTGCAAGCAGCGAAAAAAATATAAAAATATACTAAATTTTATTATGTGTCTGGAATGACCTGTTAACATAAAGTGGTATGACGATGAAAAAACCAGGTTAATGGTAATATCTAGATATCTAGACATGAGCCAAGTTAAACATAAAGATACATGAAACAAATATATATATATATATATATATATATATATATATATATATAGACGAAGTAGAATCTTTCAAATTATTAGTAATAGAAATAGATTAGCATGAAAGCTAACAGAAGGAAATAAATGACAGGATAACAAAGGCGAATTATGAAAGGAACCCAACATTTATCAACAAGAAGGAAATATCTCAAAACACTAAAATGGGAATATAGTCCAGTAAATAAACGAGCAATACGACGATAACCTGTAATTTTCCGTGTTCACACCGAAATGCATGAAAATTTGGACTTAGGTTCTACTTACCCCCCACTTCATTTTTGGACTCGTGCCGTTGGTTGCTTTTAATTTTTTAGGGTGAAAACTACTACTATTAGAAACAAATCGTATAATTATAAATTAAAGAGGGTAATAATGGGAAGTGGAAGCGCAAAACCGTAGAAGATGGAGAGTTATAGTGGATGCTGCGATTGTAAAGTCAGTCAAGAAGAAGAAATAGGGTAATTAATTCAAATCATTTTTTAATGAAGTAAATGAACGTTAATTAATATTAAACAACATAATTTAAGATTTTACCACAGATTAACCCCTAAACCTCAATCCCTAGATTACTTACAATTAAAATAATGTCATTGAATACCTTGTCTCCATTGATTTGCATGGAAATTTGGATTTATCTTATAGTTACTCTCGACTTAAAAACTGGACTTGCAATTTGGATTATTTAATTCTACAGTAACATTCAATTTAGACTTCTTTACTGTTTTAATTTTTTATCACATAATTTCTAACCTAATAAAAACCACAACTTGCGAAGAAATTCGAAAAGGTGTAGTATTTTTTTTATTAAAATAATAAATACAATAATTTTTTTAATCAAAATATTATGAATTATTTCAACTTAAGAAATCACCCTTATTAGTTTGTATAGAATGGGTAAAAGTATGTATGTGCCTTAATAGCACATTGGTTTGTTTTTTCTCATAACTCGGTTAATACCAGTAATACCTCGACTTACGCTACCCCGAATTACGCGAACCCGGAGGTTACATGATTTTCAAATCTCGTCAATTTAAACTTAATTAAAGATTTTGATACAAAAATGAAATTTTGTGAATTAGCAAATAAGTCTGATCCGTCAAATCGACTGACGGCCAGAACAATTATAAAGACGAAGACAAAATTGTCGAAGCTGTAAAAAGTACACAATCTTTAAATGCAACCATTGTTCCTAAGGCCACGGTATTATTGCCGAGATTAAAATTATCAGATAAATGTGAATAATTGTATTATTGGTTAGAACACAGTGAGCTCCTAAGTAAAACGGCTTAAAATAAAAGCAACCTTGGGCGGAAGCCCAAAAGTGAAAAGTAGAGGGTGAGAACCAAAATCAAAACTTTCAACCAAATCCGTCGTGACAAGGAAAATTCCGCTCCAAAACGGTCATTCACTGGAGTAATATTGGACAGACATGTGCTGAAGTACTGCGGAAAAAAAGCAAGAATCAGCTGAGTCATAAGAGGCTTCCTTACTGACCAATCGCCTGTCAAGGGGCACCTACAACAAGGCACCTGTCAAGATGCTGGAACAGTCAACCATATATTGCATGAGTGTGATACCTTAGATCGCAGGCGACAAACACTTCTTGGAGATCACCAAGTGACTCCAAAAACATATGCTAATCATCCACTAGAACTGTACAAGCTGGTACAGGATCCTGGAATGGTTAGTTAGATGTAACGATTTACATCACGGTAAGAGTTAGGATAGCATGAAGTTAAATAGTACAAGTTTGTAGACGGTTAAAAATCTCAGCCAAAGTGTGACTAAATACAAAAATACTTAAATAGATTCGACTTTTAAATAACACCAAATTTGAGGGAATACGATGAATCAATATTAAAATAATAAACTTAATTTTAGTAGGGCTACTCCTAAAAGGACTAAAGTAGGGCTACTCATAAAGAAGGAGTAGCCCTACTTTTACACAAGAAATTCATTGACCAAATAGAGGATTGTAAATACATTTCACAAAGAACAGTTTACGTAAAACTCAAACTAAATGATAAGTCTCTACACATAATAGCCATTTATGCTCCAGAGAACAACAGAGACGCAGACACAAGAGAAAGTTTCTTCGAACACCTCCAAAACACGATAAATGAGGTCCCTAAAAATGAATTTATGATCGTTACGGGCGACTTTAATGCCCGTGTTGGCAACGACATCGTACCAGGGATAAAACAGCGTCATAACGAAGACATGAGAAATGAAAATGGAGATCTCCTCACGGACCTATGTAGCACGAATGAACTACGCATCAACAACACTTTTTTCCCTCATAAGGAACAATACAAATACACATTCGAAAATACAAGAGGTCAAAGGTAAATGATAGACTACATCCTGACGAACAGGGTAATACATCCCTCTCAAGTATTGGACATAAGAGCACTAACATCTGCAGAAATAGGAAGCGACCATAAGCTTATACTTGGAAAAATCAGAATGACGACACGCATATGTAACAATAAAAAAAATAAAAATAAAAAAGAAGAATACACCACAAAGGTAAAAGTCTTGAGTCTGCAGAACGAATCAACAAAACTTCTATACCAAAAGAGAGTCAAAGATAAACTCGACAACATGCACATCGTAGAAAGTGATGGAATCGAAGAAAGCTGGGCGAAAATTAAAGCAAGCATCCTAGATTCAGCAAAAGAAGCTGTAGGAGAAAGGAAAATTCTTAAAAATAAATATTTCCAAAAGCGGAAAACTCCGTGGTTCTGCGCAGAAGTGAAAGAAAAATGCAAAGAAAAAAGAAAGCTTACTTAAGATACATGTCTAACAAAACACCACAAGAATACAACAATTACAAAAAGATAAGAAACGAAACAATAGCACTAGTAAGAAAAATTAAAAACGAACACTGGGAACGCTTCTCAAAAGAAATGGAACACGACTTTTACGGTCTACAAAAGGAAATATGGCGTTTCATAAGAGGCCAAAGATCAGAGATGAAAGACTTAATCGAACCGAAACACATAGATAACGACACATGGATTGAATACCTAAAGAAGCTTTATAATGATGAACAGCAAATGATGTTAGAACCAGAAACACCAGAAATCATTACAAACGAGGAAGTCGAGATAACCGTACAAGAAGTAAAACAAACTTTAGAAAAACTGAAGAACAGAAAAGCTGCAGGTAAAGATGGAGTTCCAAATGAATTATTGAAATATGGTGGAGAAGCATTAACAGAACAGCTAACAGCACTAATTAACAAAATCATCAAACATAATAAAATACCTGAAGAGTGGAAGAAAAGCGAGCTTATCCTACTAGGCAAAAAAGGAGATAAAAAACAACCTGAAAACTACAGAGGTATCAACTTATTAAACACCACTTTGAAGCTTACAACCAAAATATTGCAAGGCCAAATAAATCAGAGAATTACCTTAGCGGATGAACAGCAGGGTTTTCGCACAGGAAGATCGTGCACAGATGCAGTATTCATCATAAAACAGATTACCGAGAAAGCACTAGAGTATAACAGACCAGCATTCATATGTCTAATAGACCTGAAAAAAGCGTTCGATAAAGTAAAGCTTAAAGATGTAATTCACCTTCTTTACGATAGAGAAATTCCACTAAATGTTATAAAAACAATAAAGAACATTTACCGGAACAACAATATGGAAGTCAGAATAGATGACCAGCTTACAGATCCAATAGATATGGGCAATGGAATAAGACAAGGAGACTCGCTTAGTCCAACGCTATTCAATCTAATCATGGATGAAATCATCAATACTATTAATAAAGGAAGAGGATACAAAATGGGGAACAAAGAAATCAGAATACTCTGCTATGCAGATGATGCGGCCCTAATTGCATCCAATGAAGACGATCTACAAAGACTAACCCATAGATTCAACACAAGGGCAAAGGACTTTAATATGGTGATCTCTACACAGAAAACTAAAACAATTGTAATCAGTAAAGAACCAATTAGATGTAAACTGGAAATCGACGGTATCAGCATTGAGCAAGT